TGAATCAATGATAATAATAATAATTATGATAATAATATCGTCTTTATTATCTTCTAATACATTTAAATCAAATTTATCAAGTATAGTTCATTTATTATATGAAGATAAAAGGCTAAGTTCAATTTACATGAAGACAAGTCATCATTCAATTGCTTTTCCACTCAACCTGGCCCCGAAGCGCCAATTAATTTTTGTTGTTTTATAATTCCATGATTTGTATTACTTTCCTCTTTAATATATCCAGATAGGGGTATTATGCAATCATTTTAATCTGTACTGAGTTGATTTTTTGTAAATGAGGTAAATATTCGTTATTAGGAAAAATAGAGTTTGGCATACGTATTTATGTCCGTTAATCACGAAACCTCAATCAAAACTTGCCCCCCCCCCTCCCCAGCGTACTTTCAGAGAAAGATGCATAGAAACCCTGGTGTTTCAACCGATTAGCTTTTGTATTATCAAAAACTCTCGACGTGAGAAATGAAATTGACTCAACTGGGATATTTAATCTATGGATTAAATTCACCTGATATTTATTTATTCCAAAGTGTAAACATTAAAAATTCAACTGCCAACCGCCGTGTATAACGTCGTCCAATCGCTTTCCGAATCGGAAAGACGAAATCCCGGTCTTGCGGTTCGGAAGATTGAACGGCGTGTACACAAGATGGAGGCTAAGATCACGTCGGCGAGACAACACGCGTCTCGTATCCAATGGACTACAGGGCGGCCAATAGCCGTTTCACGCCCGCAGTGCGGCGAATAGCCGCCAATCTACGATGTATCCATCACACTTTAAGCCAAGGCATGCTGCTGACCACCGAACAACACTGCCATGATAGGATACGAATGCTAGTGGCTGCTAAGAAGTCACTAGTGAGGCGAGCGAGAAGTATCGCCAAGAGCCTCCACGTGTTGTGGATAATTCGCCGACTGCTGATCAGGTGGAATCCTTCTGGAAGGTTATCTATGAACACCCGCAGTCACTCAACTTAGACACTCCAGCCCTAGCGCAGTTCGAAGCTTTCAACGGAGAGCTTCGACAGCCTGAGCTCAATGAACCGCGCAACCCGATAACCCCGGATGACGTTCGAAGGACCCTTGTTGGTTCCAAGAACTTTGCTGCTCCAGGCCCAGATGGGCTGACACTTATTGGTGGAAAAAACTACCAAGTACCCACCGCCATCTGGCCAGATTTTTCAACTCATGGCTGGACGCAGAGCAGCCGATTCCGGATTGGTTTGTCGAGGGGCGGACCGTTCTTATCCCCAAAAGCGGAGATTTGTCGATTTCTAAGAATTACAGACCGATAACATGCTTGAATTCGTGTTATAAGTTGTTTACAAGCATCTTATACACACGAATACTCACCGCAGTTGACCGAGTGTTCGAACGGATATATGAGCAGAGAGGGTCGAAGAGAGGAGTCGCTGGATGTAAAGAGAACCTGCTCATCGATAGATGTGTAACGCAGGACTCGATACAAT